CTCAAGTAGAAAGAAAATGTTTTGAAAATGATGATGGCAACAGACACAATGGATGGATGTGTGAATTGTGATAAGAGCTGTAAGAGCCTGAGTTTAAAAAAAAAAAAAAACTGGACCAATATACAACATAAAGATAAAGGAAAAAATATCGGTCGTCAAGAACTTCATTTTACTGAGATCCACAATCCATGCTCGTGGCAGCAGCAATCAAGAAGTCAGATGGCATATTGCATAGGGCAAATCTGCTACACAAGCCCTCTTAAAGTACTGAAGGGCAAAAATGTCACTCAGAGGGCTAAGGTGCATCTGACCCAAACGATGCCTTTCTGTCACCTGTAGGCATGTGGAAAAGCTGGATAGCGAGGAAAGAAGATTGGAGAAGAGTCGGTGTGTTTGTTTGATGTCGCGGGAGAAGAATATTAAACATACCATTGACTGCCAGCAGAGGAACAAACAAATGTACGGCTGGAAGGCTCTTTCGAAGCGCGCGTAGTGGGACTGTGTCTTATGTCTTTTGAACATGCTACCAGGGAGCTCAATCCCTGGGGAAATGACACCATGCTTGGGAATGTCGAGGGTCAGCAAAGAAAGAGGAAGACGGTCAACAGGATGGCTTGGCACAGCAGCAGTCATTGTGGGCACGTGCACACCAGCCGTTGTGAGGACATGATGGTGAGATGGGTGAGCAGTACCCTGTTGTAAGCAGGTCACCAGGCCTCAGAGCAGGTTCAATGGCATCTCACCACATCCTTTCCCCATTCCATGGACTTAGCACCCTTCTCAAAATCAATGGAAGGTATGTAGATGTGTGGGCTTATTTCTAGGAGAAACACAGACACATTTAGGCCCTGTCCTTTCTAGAATAGAATATACCGTACATACTCGTGTATAAGCCGAGTTTTTCCGCACATTTTTAATGCGGTTTTGGTGGTAAAATTAGGTGCCTCAGCTGATATTCGGGTCGGCTTGTACTCGAGTGTATACGGTATATCATGTTGCCAACATGCACAGTTTACCTCTCCAGACTCACTTCTGTGGGGTAATCTTTGCCTGTTCCTGTGATTCTCCCACATAGTCCCTCAGAAGAGTGATACCGGGATTGTTTTCAGATCCCTGCACTAGGCAGAAGTGACTGCTTCCTGAAACGCCATGCTCCCAGCTGAATACCTGTATCTCCAAAGACACTCTCAGGTGAATTTGCCATTCCTTTCCCCATTACATGCCTCCCAAACTAGAAATCCAGATCCCCTGGTGAGACCTGTTCCCTGGAAGGAAATCACAGACTAGACACCAGGAGGTGGGACATCTTCATCACTTCCAGA